GGGATTGAAGAATGCCAAATGCAAGCACCTATTTTATTTTATTTATTATTTATTTTTTCTTAACAACAATCATTATTATATATTTCAAAAACAAATAACATTTACATGTCTCCAGTTTATATAAATGTCCACCATAAATATTTACAATATATAAAGAGCGTTAACAAGTTACAATATATGAAGGGTGTTAACTGTTTTACGCATGCGCGTTTGACATTGAGTTAAAATAATAAAATTAAAAACTTAAAAAATCGTAGTTTATAATATAAAGTGCTGGCTATTAACTTATGCATTAAAAAAATATACGCAGGTCCGTCGCACCACAGGGCTACTATGGACTTGCTTATCGTTGTCGTTGAAACTATTTATTAATATATATTAATAGTACTATGTAGTTGTAAGGAAACTCGCAGAAGACTAAGAAAAGTCTTTTCATCGAAAACCTTTAAAATACAAAATAAACTAAAAATTTTAAGAGTAAATCTATAAAACACACAATAACTTTTTGAAGTCATCTGTTCAGTAATATTTTACTATGTATGGTAACTATATGTATTTATTATTATTATTTTAATTTAGTTTTTTTTTATTTTTTATTTTTATAGCTTAAATTGTTCTTTTTACATTTTATTATATAAATTGTTCTTTTATATTTAGTACATATTGATATTATTGGTTTTGTTAATTATGAGATCTTTTAGTTTTTTCTTTAGGGCAATAAGATTATACAATTTAGTAAGATCTATATTTTGAGGTATTATTTTGTTGTATAAATAGGGGCCACGGTATACAATTGAAAATTTCGAAAAATTTGTTTTTTTATAGGCAACGTAAAGTTTCCGATTCCTCGTGTGATATATTTGTTGGCGTTGATTTGAAAAAAATTATTAGTAAAATGAGTTGGGACAAGTCCGAGCTTATATTTGAGCTTAATAAAATATTTCGGTAGATGTTAATTCGATAGATATTTAAAGCATTCAAGTTTTTAAGTAAAGGATTGGCATGAATAAGTTTATTTTTATTATAAATCAATCTTGATGCGTATATCGGCAAATTAGACACTTAGTCGGCATATTTGGACCCTTTTAGACTAGTTAGTCAGCAAATGTCGACCCTTTCGTTAGAGGTTAGTCGGTAATCTAAACAGTCGGCAAATGTCGCCATGGCAGTCGGCAAATTTTGGAAAACGATAATGTAATTGCACCCCCCACGTGACACCTACTCGCGCCGGCCCTGTCCCCAGGCAATTTTAGCGTATGCTAGGTAACTTTGTATATAAGAAAAAAAGAGAGTTTTTAGATTCTCCTGGGAAAGTATAGATTTGACTTTTGTTTTTTGTTTTTTTTAAGCTGATTAAGGTGCCCCAAAAAGTCTTTACGGTCTTATCACAGAGCACCGCGGAAGAGCATTTAATAGGAAGTTCACGCCTCCTTCCAAACCGATGTCGCAAAACTTGCTCAGAGGTGGGGTTTGAACCTCGGATCTTACGTTTCTGAGGCAAGTGCGCTACCAATGCGCCACGGCTGCTCTATGATGGTTGATACCTAAAGTTTCAGTTTATATATATATATATATATATATATATATATATATATATATATATATATATATATATATATATATATATATATATATATATATATATATATATATATATATATATATATATATATATATATATATATATATAATCATTGTTAGTATAAATTAAAAATAAAAGAGGATCAAGAATGGAACCTTGAAGAACTCCGCATTTTATTTTTAGTAAATTAAAATATTTATTATCGTTTGAAATAACACATTGTTGTCTGTTGCACAGATAACTTTTAAACCAATCTAGGCTAGTATTTTTTATTCCGTATTTTTCCATTTTTTTAAGTAAAATATCATGATTGTCTCACCGGTTTTAAAAATAGGTACAATTTTAGGTAACTTTAACTCATCTGATACAGTTCAAGTTTTAATTGATGATTTAAATATTTCGAAAATAGGTCGGCGTATCTCCGAAAAGACATATATATAAGACATGACGACGATATTACTGCAAATGTCATTTATACCTGGAGACTTGTTTATTTTAAGAGAGTTCATCAATTTTTAGCTCTTTAAATATAAATTCTTTGTCGACACTAGTTAGATAAGTTTCCTTGAGTAGCAGACCTGAGTAGCAGAAAACAAATGCGTTATTACAGATCATAATAAATTTTCAGACCTACTAGAAATAAAATGCGGAGGTTCCATTCTGGGTCGCTTTTTATTTCTAATATATATCAACGATCTTCCAAAAGCCCTAAAAAAACTTGATGTAATAATGTTCGCTGATGATACAAATTTATTTTACTCATCGCCGTCTATAAGCGACCTTTACGAATCTATGAACACTGACCTCGAAAACCTCAACATCTGGTTTAAAGTAAATAAATTATCTTTGAATACAGAAAAAACAAAATATATCTTGTTTCACTCCAACCGTCTTAAAAACTTTATACCAGGCACTCTACCTTCACTAAAAATTGATAAAATAAACATCAAAAGAACTGAAATAACTAAGTTTCTTGGAATAATTATTGACCAGAATATTAATTGGAAAGCCCATATCAATACAATAAACACAAAAATATCAAAAAGTATCGGCGTACTCTACAAAGCCAAACCTATGCTTTCCCAAGACAACTTAAAAATTCTCTTCTTTTCTAACATACGCTAATATTGCATGGGGAAGTACCCATAAAACTAAATTAAATTCACTCTACATACATCAGAAACATGCATCAAGTTTAATTTATAATAAAGATAAATTAAACTTACACTTAGTTAATTTAGTTAGTCTAACATACACTTAGTTACCTAACATACGCTAATATTGCATGGGGAAGTACCCATAAAACTAAATTAAATTCACTCTACATACATCAGAAACATGCATTAAGTTTAATTTATAATAAAGATAAATTCACTTGTGCCGACCCTTTATTTAAAAATTTGAATGCATTAAATATCTATCAAATAAATATTTACCAAAATATCTTATTCATGCTAAAATACAAACTCGGATTTGTTTCGAAATACTTTACTGATAGCTTTTTTCATATCAACGCAAACAAATATATCACACGAAGAACAGGCAACTTCACCTTGCCTTTTAAAAAAATAAAATTCTCGCGATTTTCTTTAATATACCGTGGCCCATACTTATATAACAAAATAATACATCAAAATATGGAACTTAATAAAATGGATAACCTTATTGCTCTAAAAAAAAACTAAAACATATCATAATTAACTTAACCAACTTCATCGAAATGTATTAAACAATTTGGGAAAAATAGTAATAAATAAAAGCCCTACTACTTCTGCTATATAGTAGATACCAAAATACTTATGTGTATTTGTTGAACTAGTTCATTAAAGTTTATTTTATGTTTTAAAGGTTCTCGATGAAAAGACTATTTTAGTCTTCTGCGAGTTTCCTTACAACAAAGAAAAATATTTTTTAAGAATAATTTTATATATATATATATATATTCAACAACGTCCACAAGCAAGTCCCTAGTAGTCCTGTGGTACGACGGACTTGCATATATTTTTTAAATGCATGGGTTAATAGCCAGCACTTTATATTATAAACAACGAATAGTTACCTTATTTTGTACACTGTACAACGCGCATGCCCTGAACAGAATTTTGAATTTTGTCTTGTAAAAATTTTAATGGTAAAATTTGTCTAGTAAAAATTTTAATGGTACAAAAATTGTTTAATAGTACGTTTTGTACTTATATGTAAAAATATGTAATTTTGTTTTATTGAAATATATACGGATAATTGTGTTGTAAAAAAAAAAAAAAAAAAAGTTTCAAATGAGTTGTTTGGACAATGGACTTTTGAAGCTAGATTTAGGGCTATGTTAACAAAAAAAAAAAAAAAACTATTAACTTTTTCTGAAATTACATTATTATTGTCATACTCTTTATTATCTATGAAAATTTGAGCAAATAAATTATATATTTTGCAGGTTTTTATCCCAATTATTTCTTTGATGATATCCCATGTTTTCTTAATATCACCATTTGTGTTTTTTATTTTATTTGAGTAATAGTTTTTCTTTGAATTTTTTTTTATTTTTTCAAACAAGTTTTTATACTGTTTGTAAATATTTAGGTTTGCCTCATTTCTATTTTTTAAGTATTTAATAAAAAGTTTTTTTTTTTTTGAGGATTTTTTTAATACCTTTGGTGATCCATGGATATCTTAAGTGTTTTTCTTTTATTAATTTTACTTTAATTGGGAAGTGCATATTTTAGTTTTTTAGGAAAATTTTTTAAAGTTATAATAAGCAGAGTTAGTGTTCCCAAGATTGCATTGATGGTCAAAAAAGTTGAAGCTTTCATATTACTTTAAAGTACTTAATTAATGGCAAAATCCAAAATTCATTTACATCTTTAAAAACTTCGTCGCAAAAGATTTTCCTTCAGACCCTATAATGAACCATTCTAAAAAACTGATTATCAAAATTTTAAACAATGAAAGTATAAGCAAAAACTATCAAGAGTTCAGATTTCCATCCAGGGAAAAGTAAGCTGCATAAGTGATCTGAATATAGTAAGACAAAATCACCTTAAATGTTGTTATGTAAGAACTTAAGAATTTAGATATTACAAAAAAGACGCGGAAGCTCAAAGAAGACCATGATCATCACCATGTCACAGATACCGCTAAAGTTAAATGTATTAATTGTTTGGTAAACGAATAACATTAAAATTTAAATTAAAAAAAATAACTTTAAAATAGTTTAAAGGGCTCAAAAAGTCAGATAGATTCAAAAAAAAATTTGATAACAACGAAAACTTTTTAAAAACATTTGTGTCAATTATTGGAAGTCAAACGTGACATTTTTTTGGAAAAAAATAAAGATATAGAATCCTTTTTTTAAAGAGTTTGCAGAATTATCAAAAAACGAATTTGGTACTTAAAACAAGGTAGAAAGCACTAATAACATATG